GGTGGATTTTTTTGGTCCACTCTAGTTTACTTGCTGTGAATTTTTGAAGTCTCTCGTTCAAATGAATGGAGCTACGCCGGCTGACGCATGCGCAGATGCGTTTTTTCACAATTTTCTTGTGGGCGGGACCACTCGCGGCCATTTTGGATAGCTCCAGTAGAGCACATTTTTTGGCCCATTAGTTTGAACGGCGGAGATAGGCGTGACTCTGTCTGTTAATATAAACAGTCTATGGTTTATTCATGACACATACTGTAAGTTTCAACGACGGAGATAGACGTCACTATGACTGTTATTAATTACAGTCTATGGTTAGGACTAGTTTGGGAGATGGGGGAGACTAGTATAGGAGGGAGGAAAAGAGGGTGTAAGAAGAGCAATGTAGGAGGTAGAAAGAAGACTGGTGTAAGAGGGAGGAGGAAACATAGTGTAGGAGACAGCAGATGAGGGATACTAGAATGTAAGTGTAGAGTGGCAGAAGGAAGAGAACTTGTGTAGGAGACTAGTGTAAGAAGGAAGGAGGAAGTCTAGTGAAAGTTAAAGTAAGACTTGTGCAGGAGGGAGGAGACATGTGTAAAGCAGGTTAAATGTAATGGCTGTTGTGTTGAGCTTTGGCCACTGATGCTAAAGTAGATTCCTGTTCATTTGCATTTTCAGGAAACACCCATGTTTTCTGAATATCCATCCATCCATCCATTTTCTACCCTTTAATCCATTTCTGGGTCAGGGGGGTGGCAGTCAGAGATGCCACCCAAGTCTCATAGCACCAGCCCCTCACTGACCCTCTGCAGGTGGTGAGTCCACAGGAGCTGAGATCTTCCAGCGGGGGCTTTGGGCAAAGTGGGGTTAAGTGTCTTGCCCAAGGACACAACAACAGCAGTCATCAGTGGGAGTCGGTGGAGAAGGTGTAGAGGTGGGAATTGAACCCACACCCTAACCCTAACCCTAACCCCACACCCAAACTGAGCTACTGTCTGAATAGTTCAGAATAAAGAAAGCTTAACTTAGGCCTTCCATTTTACTATGAATATTATTTTCGGCATAAATTATGTAGATATTTCTTTATAAAAAGATGAATTTAAAGCCTTAAGCTATATTGAGATATATATATATTGTATTTTGTTTTACTTGTAATATTTGGATATTTATTATATGACTTGGATCAAACGCGCAATCTGATTGGCTGATTTGCGGTCTGATATTTTCCCATCTCGGACGGTTACCATGACAATTGCTCCGCAGCGCGTATCAAAATTGATATCTTTCCTTGGTAAAAAATAAATAATGAGTGACGACTGGGAGCATTCTCCCAGAGAATTTTATTATCAGGACAAGTTCGAAGGAAGGCCAGAGGAAGTAATAACAGCAAATAACGACAAAAATACTACTCCTAACAGTCAAGAGATTGACAACTTTCGTTACAGACAGAAAGCTAAAAACAAGATTATTGCACAGACCTCGCCACACTTGTCAACAAGTATCATACATGTTGACAAGTGTCATACATGTTGACAAGTATCATACATGTTGACAAGTGTCATACATGTCAATAAATGTCATACATTTTGATAAATGTCATACATGATGGCAAATGTCATACTTGTTGATAAATGTCATACTTGTTGATGTAATGTAATACGTGTTGTAGAATGTCAGATTTTTACGCCCAAAATGTGTTTGGTCTGAGCGCAGCATTACCCGTTAGGGGCCTAGATATAAACCAGTTTTTCTCCTTCTGTGCTTCTAACACGGGTATGCTAACGCAGGTATGCGTCCACCGTCACAGGGAAACTGGCAGATGAGTTAGTATCAGGTCATTGTTCAAACATAAAGATTATTAAAGATTACCTGAAGGTTTGTGGCTCCAACCCGTGGTGACCCCAGGACCTCATGATGCTCAGGGACTAGAGCCTGCGGAGAAACAGAGACGAGAACCAAACACAACAAAACTATCTTTGTTCTTTTAACAAATCATGCACCGATAATAATGTTCCAATAACTCTTGATTTCTTAGTCTATGACCTTTGCAGATTTGAAATACACCTTAACCAACCTAAAGCTCGAGCCTTAGACTTTATGTAGATATACACTAGAATCATGTGTTTTAGTCTCGCCTAAAAGAACACGTTTATAAAAACCTTGTTTAATGAAAGTAATGACACGCAGCTAAAACATGGTTTCTCTCTCTTTACGTCACTTGAAGTCTTTAAGTCTCTCTTTACGTCACTTTAAGTCTTTAAGTCTCTCTTTACGTCACTTTAAGTCTTTAAGTCTCTCTTTACGTCACTTTAAGTCTTTAAGTCTCTCTTTACATCACTTTAGGTCTTTAAGTCTCTCTTTACGTCACTTTAAGTCTTTAAGTCTCTCTTTACGTCACTTAAAGTGAAGTAAAGAGAGACTTAAAGACTTTAAGTCCCTCTTTACGTCACTTTAAGTCTTTAAGTCCCTCTTTACGTCACTTTAAGACTTTAAGTCCCTCTTTACGTCACTTTAAGACTTTAAGTCTCTCTTTAAAAGCTATCGTGTTTTGGAAACCAAAACAAATGTACTTTGACAAACTGAACTCTGAACTCTGGGTCGTTATTCATTCATAGTTTATTTAGTTGGAACAGTACATGTCGATGATCACTCCAGTACCTTGGAATAATTTCAATCCGCTGTCCCACATTCGCTCTCACAAACACTCACTCATTCACCCTGACCTATTGTACATGTTTTTTAGTGGTAGGGGAAACCGGAGTACCCGGAGGAAACCTACGCAGACACGGGGAGAACATGCAAACTCCACTCAGAAAGGCCCTGTTCCGACCAGTATTCAAAACCAGGACCTTCTTGCTGAGAGGCAAGAGTGCTAACCACTCTGCCACCGTGCTGCCCCGATGGTCGTTGTGAGAATATTCACTTGTGTAGCACTGCTTGTTCTGCATGAGACACACGTTGTTGTGTTGCTGTGGATTAACACACATGCAGCAACCAATCACAGAGCAGCAAAGTGATCACAGGGACACGAGCCAATCAGAGAAAGAGAAACCCAAAAGGACGAGGACTGAACCAGGACTGGCCTAGAACACGACCGGGATTAAACCAGGACTAAACTTAAACTAAACCAGAATCAAACCAGGGCGAAACAGGACCAAACCAGCACTAGACCAGGAACAAACCAGGTATAAACCAGCACTAGACCAGGAACAAACCAGGTATAAACCAGCACTAGACCAGGAACAAACCAGGTATAAACCAGTACTAGACCAGGAACAAACCAGGAACAAACCAGGAACAAACCAGGAATAAACCAGGAATAAACCAGGACTAGACTAGGACTAGACTAGGACTAGACCAGGAACAAACCAGGAACAAACCAGGAACAAACCAGGAATAAACCAGGAATAAACCAGGACTAGACTAGGACTAGACCAGGAACAAACCAGGAACAAACCAGAAATAAACCAGGACTAGACCAGGACTAAACCAGGAATAAACCAGGAATAGACCAGGAAGCAACCAGGATTAAACCAGGAACAAACCAGGATTAAACCAGGACTAAACCAGGACTAAACCAGGATTAAACAAGGACTAGACCTAAACTAAACCAGGACCAAAACAGGATCAAACCAGGACTAAACCAGGAATAAACCAGGAATAAACCGGGAATAGACCAGGAATGAACCAGGAACAAACCAGGAACAAACCAGGAATAAACCAGGAATAGACCACGAACAAACCAGGAATAAACCAGGACTAGACCAGGACTAAACCAGGAATAAACTAGGACTAGACCAGGAACAAACCAGGAACAAACCAGGAATAAACAAGGACTAGACCAGGACTAGACCAGGACTAGACCAGGAACAAACCAGTAATAAACCAGGACTAAACCAGGACTAGACCAGGACCAAACCAGGATCAAACCAGGATTTGCGAAGACTAGAACAGGACTAAACCAGGCCCAAAACTAGAATAAACCAGGATTAGAAAAGGACAAAACCAGGAAAAAACAGGACAAAACCAGGACTAGACCAAGACTAAACCAGGATTCAACCAGGACTAGACTGGGGCTAGAACAGGACTAGAAAAGGACTAAACCAGGATTAAATCGGGACTAAATCGGGACTAAATCGGGACTACAACAGGACTAAACCAGGACTCGACTAGGATTAAACCAGGACTAAACCAGGACTAGAGAAGGATTAAACTAGGATTAAACCAGGTGTGACTGTGGAGGACAAAGTGCTGCTAACTGACTATGAACAAGTGCTTCTAACTGACTGTGAACAAGTGCTGCTAACTGACTGTGAACAAGTGCTGCTAACTGACTGTGAACAAGTGCTGCTAACTGACTGTGAACAAGTGCTGCTAACTGACTGTGAACAAGTGCTGCTAACTGACTGTGAACAAGTGCTGCTAACTGACTGTGAACAAGTGCTGCTAACTGCCTGAACAAGTGCTAACGAGACTGTACGGTGTTTCTGCGACACTCGAACCGACTGTAGTGGACGTTACCCCCATGTTTCCCCCCCCTTACAGACCCTCTCAGAGGTAGGTGAGGATATAGGCCTCTCCCTGAGGCCACACCTACCCTGAAGATGCCCCCACCTTACAGACCCTCTCGGAGGGAAGTGAGGATGTAGGCCTCCCTCTCCCTGAGGCCACACGTACCCTCACGTTGCCCCCCCCCCCCCCCCCCCCCCTTAGAGACCCTCTCAGAGGTAGGTGAGGATGTAGGCCTCCCTCTCCCTGAGGCCACACCTACCCTCAAGTTCCCCCTACCTTACATACCCTCTTGGAGGTAGGTGAGGATGTAGGCCTCTCCCTGAGGCCACACCTACCCTCAAGATGCCCCCACCTTACAGACCCTCTCGGAGGGAGGTGAGGATGTAGGCCTCTCCCTGAGGCCACACCTTCCCTCAAGTTGCCCCCCCCATACAGACCCTCTCGGAGGGAAGTGAGGATGTAGGCCTTCCTCTCCCTGAGGCCACACCTACCCTCAAGTTGCCCCCACCTTACAGACCCTCTCGGCGGTAGTGAGGATGTAGGCCTCTCCCTGAGGCCACACCTACCCTCAAGTTGCCCCCCCCATACAGACCCTCTCGGAGGTAGGTGAGGATGTAGGCTTCCCTCTCCCTGAGGCCACACACCGTCTTCCTGTCGGTCTGGGACACCGTCCTATCATTGTAGGTCAACCATGGCTCTTTGGCCCCGCCCTCAACAAGACAAACCTGAACTTTCTGTAGAATCTCTGAGAATCCTATTATCGTACCTGAATTAGTGGACGGTCCCAAATGAGAAATTACGTTCACCAGATTGAACTGTGCTGTGTCCTGAAAAAAAAGAGCATTATACATTTGAGGCATAATATAAGGAACATATGCACTCTTTGTTCTGTAGATTCACTACAGCACTTTTTTCAGTCAATTCTCACCTGTTTGGATTTGACGACAATCCTCTTGTCCAGTTTGACCTTGTATTTGAGTTTTTGCATATTCCAGTTGTGGTCATATGCAAACCTCTTGAGGTGGAGGATTAGGACACTGAATAAAGAAATAACGTTAAAGTTGCTTCAGGTATTCGTTGATGATGTTGAGACTTTGGCAGAGTTGCAAAGGCTGCAGTCATCCCAGAAAGTCTGCCTTCACACCCACATCTGAACTCCAGCTCTGTTTCCTGAAAGGAACTTATTGGATTATTTTTCTGATGCTGAACAAACACAGGGGTTTAATACTGTCATGTTTAGCACATACCTTTAAATGGTTCTGCAGGAGTTCGTCTACAGACCTATCAGGAAGCAGGTCCAGGGAGAGGATGGTAAAGGTCTCCTGCCTCGAGGACCCCTGACCGCAGCTGACAGACACAACATGAGAAAGTTAGACAGTAGTCATCGAGTTTCATCTAAATGTTAAAGCAATGGACTCAGAACATGTTTACACCATGAGACTGAAGCTCCATCAGCGACATAAGGAACTCATGGACATCCTGCCAGTGAAAAATCAAACTCAGTCAGACTCATGGAGGGTTAAACAGACAATACTTTCACATTACGGATGAAGCAAAGGAGAAGATGGATTCACCTGCTGCTCTGAGCCTCCAAACATGGGAGCAGAGACCGCCACAGTCTGCCTGAAGCTCTGCACCAGCGTCGTCATGCACACAGAGGCCTCTGTGTAGGGGGCTTCTGCCAGGTCATGGATGTTCCTGTGGGGACAGGACACGTTAACTACACATCTACAGGTACAAACTTGGCTGTAAATACAATCCCAGCTTTAGTCCAAACAGCTGCTCCTTACCTCAGCAGCTCTGCTTCCTCGCAGTGAGCCCAAACAGTCGCCTGAGCGCTGAGCGTGGACATGACAGGTTCTGCTGTCCTCAGCAGCTGTACAACGGCGTTCTGGTAACACCAGTAAGCACCGTTTGGGAGTCTGCAAATACACAATGGATCATTGACCTGTGACACCATCACCTTACTGTCCTTCATCATGTGGTCCATACTCACCCACAGTTTTCCAAGTTCAGCCTTCTTTTTCTGGACCTTCCGGCATCACCCACAAGCTCAAGGTCGGTCTCAGAGAGGACCTGTACCGAGGTCATTGGCTCCCCCATGGAGAGGTGCGCAGGGAGAGGGTTGGGCTCCTCATCCTCCTCATCCTCATCCTCGGTGTCTGTCGTCTGGTCCCAAATTATTGACTGGACGAAAGTATTGGTCTGGTCCTCCTCTGTGGTCTGGTCCTCTTCTATGGTGGTGCTCTCTGTGGTCGGCCTCTTCTGTGGTCTGGTCTCTTCTGTGTCTGGTCTCTCTGTGGTGGTGCTCCTCTGTGGTCAGGGGTCTGGCCAGGGAGCAGCACATCCAGGTCTTTGGGGACAGACTCTGACAGGGCCTCGTCCATGTGGGGCAGACCATCCTCCTCTGGGGTCTCCTCTATAAGTGTGAGGGGGGCGGGGGAAGGAGGCGTGGACAGTGGCTGGGCTCTGGAGCTGGAAAAGGCAACACAAACATTAATATTAGGACTTTCAGCAGAGAACCTTGAAGGCTCTGAGAGGAAGATGTGGATTACCGTGGTGCTGGTGTGGCCGGCTGTTCCACCGGAGAAGGAGCCACTCTGTGCGTCCTCTGATTGAGAAGAGAGAAGTTTACACACATTCAATATTTACAACCACAGCATCACACCATGTGTCCTACTTACCCTGAAGCTCCTGGTGAGCCAGGAAAAACCGTGGGCAGACCTTGCACCACTGAAAAGATAAATTTACAATGAGTTTGATGATGAAATAAAAGCATATTGAACAGAGAGGAGGCTGTTCTTACCGGCGGAGATGCTGCAGACTTTGGTTTTGTTACTGCGGCACATGGCAAAACATGCGCCGCAACCAAACATATCTGCTGTGCTTTGGTCGAGGGGCGCTGTGGCAGAAAAACACACCATTAGGTCCAATCCCACAGTTCAGAAAGACTCAGATATGAATTTGAGTGTTTTGTGTGAATAAACAACTTCCACATGTTTAGTACCTTTGTGCCTCACTGGGGGCGCTCTCCCTCTGGGAATCCTGTGCTGTGGATTTCTGATGAAACAAAAAAGATCCAACATGAACTTTACAAACCAAATAAACGACAAAGATCCAGGGGTCAATCATGTCACGAACACTTATATTTAACTTAATGACACTTTATTCATGAAGACTTTTCTGAGTCAGGGACATGTCACACATTTGTCATGTGTTTAATGATATATGTTATACATATTTATATATTTATATATGAAATACAGTCAGAGATGGTTCACAAAGCCCCAACATGAGAATGATTATTAAAACACTTTAAAAACTGGGTCGACTCCAAGGCCCCGTGTTTGTGTAAATATTCTCTTCAGAGACCACCTCTGAACTGCACTGACCCACGTCAAGCTAATAGCATCGCTAACCAACGGTGCAGAACTAAATAACCAAACACCGACTCATGGTTTGAAAAGATAAACTTAAACTAAAGATAAAATAAGCTTCATCTTGAACTTTTTACAGTTTTGTTGCATTTTAATAATTAGTTATCTACTTTGAGAGTCATATCTCTAAGTTAACAGTCCAAACACATCAAGCTAATAGCATCGGTTAATGCAGAATAACTAAACAACCAAACAGCTACTCACCTCAGGCGTTTGCAAACAACAAAACATGTTAAACTGTGTTTTGTCACGAGCTCAAGAAAATGTGTGTCTCAAAAACTGAAGAAACCATGAAATTAACCAAAGTCTGGTCTGGCCTCAAGTTCTCAGATCGGGTTCTATAGAAAGAGACAGAACGTGGTCGCCGTGGAGACGAGTTCTATAGCGGCATTTTAGAGGGTTCTGATCAGATTAAAGATGAGGTCGTTAAGGAGCGACAGAAACCATGGCAACAGTTTGAAATACCCAAAATGAGAGATTTGTGTTTAATTTGCAATCTGGAACTTTAGAGAACAAACAGAAGACCAGATGGCGAGATTATGTGAAACCTCTTGTGCACGCCTATAATTGCACACGCAATGAGGTAACTGGCTTCACGCCTTATGAACTCATGTTTGGCAGAACACCAGGACTCCCAGTTGATTTGGCTTTTGGTCTTCCTGTTCGTGAGAAGCCAACTTCTTCACATACAGAATATGTCAAAAGTTTGAAGTCTCGTCTCAAAGAGAGTTATCAATTAGCCTCTCGAAGTGCACAGAAGTCAGCTGATCGGAATAAAGCTCGATTTGACCGACGTGTAACTCCTTGCAAGCTGGACATGGGAGATAGAGTTCTGGTTCGCAGTGTCCGGATCCGAGGGAAACACAAATTGGAGGACAAGTGGGAATCTGACGTCTATGTAGTCATTAAATGTGCTGGAGATCTTCCCGTGTACACAGTGAAGCCAGAGACCAAGGATGGACCAACTCGCACCCTTCATAGAGATCTGCTCCTTCCCTGTGGGTTCCTCCCAGCTGCACCTTCTCGAGGCATTTCACCCGCTGCTCCTGTCCGAAAACATCAGACCCGCAGTCAAGCCTCACCTGAACTAGCTGACCCATACTTCTCTGATGATGACGACAGTCCTCCTTTCATCTCAATCAGTATAGTGGAATTTCCTGAAACTATTTCTAGTGTTCAACCCAGCCACAGTCACACTCTTGATGTTGAGCAGTCCGACATCCCTCTGGATCCAGCTTTAGCCACAAGAGTTGACGAGATTCCCAATCCTCCTGTTGAGCCTTCTCAAGAAATGGTTCCAGAGTCTAGCCATGAACCTGAGGCTACATTGCTATTGGACAATGAGAGATCTGTTGAAGCTGAAGATAAATTACCTATCCACCTTACCGATCCTTACCATTCTACCGATACTCCTGAAGCTGGCACTGAAACTATGGAGGAGGATGTGGCTGAAGACGTGCCAATTATTGAACAGTCTTTAAACCCTGAGGTGACAAACTCTGTTCCAGAAACAGTTACTGAAGTTGTAGAAGCCACTAATGTCAGTCATGAGGTAGGGGAAGATGTTGTACTTCGCCGCACAGGTCGTACTAGGGCCCCGCCTAGCCGGTTAACATATACCAAGTTGGGTAATCCCCTTATCTCTGTCGTCCAAACAATGTTTCAAACCCTTTCAGATGCTTACGCTGACGCTTTAAACCGCGCTGCTGTAATGGATATTTATCCCAAACGTAGTTAGCTTTCCCTCGTCTCAACATGCGACGGGACGTGCATGGTCTAAAGGGGGGAGGGTGTAACCCAGATATATTTTGATATACTTTTTAAGAAATATTTTAAGAATGATATTGTTCATGTAATTTAAAATATCATTACATTTAAAATCATGTTTTTACCTGTGAAATGAAATGTTTTGTCAAGTCTCGCGAGACTTGGGGCGAGACTTTGGGTCTGAGATTTGCGCGCCGCCATTTTGAATATAGCCGGCTGCTTAGCATTTGTGGTTAGGTGTGTGGGAGATGCTGCATTAAGAGCTGCTACAGGTAAACATTTACCCCTCTAACTCGCTACCTCTGCCAAATCAAAGATCAGTTCCTAAAACGTTGTCCTCCCAACCTTTTACAGATTCATGTGACCGCAAAGTTGTCTTTGCTGCGTATATGTGTGTGTGTGTGAAGAAGGAATCGGTGAGTGCAATGTTATTGTTATGCTAATGCTAACTGGCGCAAAATGCTATCCAGTGCTGGCATTTATTGCTATGTGAGATTTTTATTAAGCTAAATCAGCTAAACTATAACTTATAGTTTAGCTGATTTAGCTTAATAAATGTTCATAGAGTGAGGCATTCATAGAGTGAGGCATACACTTATAGTATAAGTGTATGCCTCACTCTATGAATTGTGTTAAGGTACCTGTTTAATGTCGTAAATGAGTGAACTTTTACTGTCATGAACAACCCATGGTTATTTAATGTATTCACCTGGTAGATAAGGGAATATTTATGCATGCATATTTTGTACACAGGCCAGGCTTAGGAGACTGCTTATTGCCATTGGCGACTTGCCGTGAGAGTACTGCCAGCAGCCATCCTACAGTTACCTGTGTGTTTTGATCAGCCTTCACGTCTGCTGCGGTAGGACACGCTGTAGGCACTCGCTCACTCCCACCACCTCCTACATTACGAGGGTTGGGCCGGGGAGCTATTTTCCTTCCCTCTGGATCCTAGAACTGTTTACCTTTTGGGACTAAGAGGCCCTCTCGGACTCTGAGCGTGAACTCGGTGGATGGAAAGAGCGATTGGTTACTTGTTTTTGGTTTTGTTTTGTTTTGTTTTGTAAATATTCAAGTGCACTTGAGCCTGTAAATATTGTAAATACCCCTTCTTCAAAATATCAATAACACAAATAATTGAAGGCCCCTCCGAACGCTGGCTCCTTGTACTACAACTACAAGGGTTACCACTCCCTGGTGCTCCTCGCTGTTGTGGACGCCCAGTACCGCTTTCGCGTGGTTGACGTTGGGGGATATGGCAGGAACAGCGACGGGGGGATCCTGGGCAACTCTGCCTTTGGTACGGCCCTGCGGGAAGGAACTCTCCGGCTGCCTCCTGACCAGTGCCTTCCAGGCGCTGACCACAGAGGGCCCCAGCCCTATGTCTTTGTGGCCGATGAAGCGTTCCCACTGCAGCGGCACATGATGCGTCCCTATTCCCTGAAAGAAACTGACTGCATTTCTGTTCTTTGTCACCATTTTGTTAGCGCTAATAAATGTTTGCCTTACTTGAAGTGTTGTTTCTGTTTAATGTATGTTTTAATTTAAAATGCTTTAGGTAAACACTTACAGCTAACGAGACGTGAAGTCAAGTTAAAAGTTGTTCACAGTACCTAGTTTTGTTTTGAAACGTTACTCTATGATCCTTCTTATTCAGCCCCAATTATAGGCAATGTCAAATCAGACATTTAGCTTTGGAATGGAATGGTTCACTAGTGGAAAATAAAGTACCACATACTTTGATTAGTCCATTCGTACCTTTTCTCGTGCACAGAGTCATAGAGAATATTGTGCATGAGAAATACTCTGTTTAACACACACCACATTAAAGATAGAGTATGAATTTTAAATATTAGAAACTGCGATCATGTAAATAAACTTTATGTAGGTGAGTTCAGAATATTATTTTGGTTCCCTAGTACTCCAATAGATATTACTAAAACCCTTACTGTTTGTGTAATTAAACTGTTTAAAACGACCCTTGATTTAGGGCCGTTTTCACGCCATCTAGTGACCAATGTAGCATACAACAGTAAACAACCGTAGCATATCACAGAGACAAGAGAAAGTAATGCAAACATTGAACAAACCTTGTTCCCTCATCAACCAGGTGCTAAGGGCTGAAACAAACTATAGAACATTTTTGTACTCGCCTTATACATTCTCAGAGCTGTGGAGAATTCTACAATGTCAATATGCCAATCTATATGCTGTAAAGGAGGGGCCAAAGTAAATTTTGTATCTGCTCATTTATTCTGTAATGTATGGTTCTTCTACAACTACGCCTCTTAATGACAAGATTAAAAAGAACCTAGGAAATGTATCTACATAGACACAAGAGATTCACACAACACTTTTATTTACATATATACAATTGCATGGAGTGAGGTCACATGGCTATCCCTGCACATTGGATGGTGGCGCATTTTCCTTTTCTGCAAGTTCCTTGTAGATGATGTTTGAAAACCTCCGTTTGATTCTGTAACGGGCATGGGGCTCCAATTTCCCCAATAGAGGGACCAGACAGGAAAATATACGCCGTGTAGTGGCGTGATTACGTCAGTGGTGTGCGTGCTCTCTGATTGGTCGCTGCACGAACATCTCGAGGAAAAGTTGAGCGGAATCCATCTCCTGTGGGCGTTCAT